TCCATGCTTTACCATTTTTAGGGATGCAGCTTCACACTAGAAAATTGAAGAAGCTAATTATCAAATAAATCGACTATTTCTTTACTACTGGGGTCAAAAACCCCTATTTATATGTGACGTCATACCTAATCAACTCATCCACATATGCGAACGATTGAAATAAGCAGCTATTAAATATAAATCGGACACCATCAATTTTTATTTTCTATTCACAACTCTACAAACTTTTATTTCTTCTTATATTGATTCCATTCATGAATTTGAATCTCATTGTTTTATGTACACATAAATCTTTTGCGGAATACAGTTTCTAAGACTGATTTCAATTCAGTTCTTATTTCATTAATAGAACCCCGAATAAATTGCTAATCAAATCATTAAGAAGGAAGAAAGAAGAATGAAAATTGCCTCTATGGATCGCAAAGTAAATTCTTGCTCGTCTTTCCTTTTTTTTGTGTGAATAAGTTGATGTTATTGGATGTATGTACTTGGATTCTAGTATGTCACACAATATGTTGGGTTGAGGATTGAATGTTTAAGTTATTTTCAGGTATTTTATTGATCTGAATGTAAAGTTATTGGTTGCCTGATCGGCACACATTGAAATTCATTGAAATGTTGGCTCCCTGGCAGCCTGGATAAAAGTATAATTAGAATAAGGTGGCAGCAACTTTGCATCCAATTGGAAATGGCTTTCAGGTGGGTGGCAAATGTTTCAATCTGTTCCAATCGGGTTGGATGAGTCAATAGTGTGATTAATAAATGGAAGAAGTCAAAAACCTAGTTTTAGGGTTGATCTTAGTTGATACTAAGCTACTAGCTTGCGGTCAAGGTTGTGGTACTGATAAAATGATCAAAAACGATCAAAAAAAGATCAAAATTGATTAAAATTGATCAAAAATGATCAAAATGTAATTCTTCAGTTCCACAGTGTATGTAAACACTGTGTACTGGTAAAAAGTATCAAATCTAGTAAAACAGGACAAAGCTGGTCTAAAATTGTCAGCTTTAAAATTAACATCATCCACAAAAGTCCTGAAATTCGATTCACCAGCCAAACACACGTCCCATACCTCGCACGTAATTTAATGTAAGAATTTTCAGGTACAAACACAGAAAATTACGAACTATGAGATTTGTTGTATTTTCTGTATTAAGAAATCGGAAGAATAAGATGCAAACAAAAGTCTCAAATGTCCAACAGCATTAAGCAATCTAGAAAAATCTCTTAATTATATTGAGTGGCTATTGTGGGTTTCATTATGACGAAGCATATCTACAATGAAATTCTACATTGCGGTTGTAATTCGATGCAGTTGTTTCTGCTAAAACATCCTTGTTATTGTCCTCGATTCCATTTGTCAGAGTGCGAATGAGGAATTTGAGATTTCTATCAAATTATTTACAGAGAAAAGTGTGAAAAGCCACAAAAAACATTAGAATTATGTGGAAGAGAAAAGTGCAACAGGATACATACATTAAAATAGCTTTGAGGCATTCACAGAATTTATGCCAATCAATCTTGGATGTAAGAGACATTTTTTCTTTTCTTTTATATGGAACAAGATTTATCTGAGGAAATTAGTATTATTCATTTAATATTAATACGATACATTTAATAAACAAAAAAAAAAAACGATTGAAATATTTCAACAAAATAATAATAATAAAAATAGGAGTAGCAGAGGATTTCCAGTTGTTTCTCTTAAATTCATTGATTGTCGATGCATCATCGTCAACAGCTTATTTCTTTATAAATAAAAATATTGAAGATCTTTAAAAAAATATTTTTTTTTTTTTATATATTCTCAATTGAATAAAAAGGAATTTGGATTCATCTTTTGCGATGATGTTGATTCCCTACAGATTTCAACAGAAAATACAATTCTAATACATCATGTGAATGTCACAACTAAACATTGACAAACAATAAAGATCGCAGCAGGTGAACGAGAAACTTGAAATGATCGTCAGTCTTTTGGGCTTCTATGATGGATAATCTGGTGTTTTGGGAAGGCATGATTTATTGTGTAGGTCATTTTGTCACAATTTAAATTTTTTTTGGAATTTAAGGTTTTAAGATGATGGAAATTGGCAATCCGTAGCCAGCAATAGAGCCAACTTAAGGCGGCATCTGAGAGAGGCAATGTTGCACAACTGATCTGTAAGGTCATCGAAGTAAGTAAGATGATGTAACATAGGTTTGAGTCCTGGTTCGAATATATTTTTCTTTGCATCTGGGGATGGCAAGGCAAGTGTACATTCGTGATTAATCCCAAAAATCAAAAAAAAAAATTGCAAAAAATCTCAGCACTACTTTAGTTGATGAATAATTGACGGGTTTCAAGTGGGATTCAAAGTTTGATGACAGAAAGTGCTGGGGTTTTTTTTTGGGATATTTGGGACACTTAGGATTAATCCTGAGTGTGTACGCCTTGGGATAGGAAAGTCACAATTGATCTGTACAGCCAGAGAAGTAAAATAGTTAAGTATACGCCTTGGAGGAAGGTTCTTCATTGATTTTTTGCTTTAAAGTCAAGGTTCAGATGTCATCCAGACAACAAAACACTGATTGACTTCAAACTCTGTGCTATTAACGTCTAGCTACGACATAAGTTGCGTAGTAATGAGTGGGAAGTCATGATCGTGATGATATGTATCCACAAATGAAGAAATGTCAAATTAAATAAGAACTATCACTGTGACAAAGTCTTACTGAGTTGTAAGAACCGCCATAAATAAGAAATCCAAGTTAGACTTTACATCTTTGGCCAGTTTCTAGGCCACCCCGGGAAATCCTAAGGTATAAATAGAATTCGATGTACCACAATATGATATATTATTAAAATTAATCCGAGACTATGGTTGGGTGAGCCGAGTAGCTATTGAAACTGGCCACTGAATTAAGAAAGCTAGACTTATTGATTTAGCAACATTTTGCTTGATGAAATGCGCTTAAACCACTCTTGTGCAGTCTTTAAACTTCAATATATTCTCCTACAGCTACACTTATGCACAAAACTCTTCCATACATCTCACATCTCACAATAAAGGAGAGGAGAAAAAAAAATCTATCAAAACTTGGCGTAAATATTTCACCAGAATAAGGCATATCCATCATCATTGATTTGTTTTACATCTAAATCAAAATGTTGACAATTGGCTACCATAAACTAGTGTTCTGAAATGTGAGACTAACAAACAAGCAGAAAAAGAGAACAAAAATTCTCAAATTTCTAATGAGTTTTATTCAGCAGAAAACAAAAATTGGCCTTCTCCCCATGGCTTCTTGTGTACCATTGAATACTAAAAATACACATTTGAACAAATAATAAATAGCACATTTGATTCTTTTGTTACTGTGTACATATAACATCATGTTACATCTTCATTGTTGATCAAACAAATAAGCATCATGTTCTATTATGATGTTGTCTATAGGATAAAAATGTTCTGTATCATCTTTTGTGGTTGTAAAGTTTTTTTTTTGCACAGATAACTTTAAGTCAGTTATGATGAAATTGTGAAAAAATAAAATTATGAATTGTGAATGGAAAAAAAGGGATTTGTAGGAGTTTTTTGTGTTGATCTGTTAATTATGGAAGATTCGTGGAACTCGAGGCAATATTTTTGAAGGAAATGAGAGTTTACAGTGTTGGAAATAAGGCGGGATGTGACCAATTGATTTAAAACTTTGGCTGAATATTGTCCAATTGGAATGTAAACCGTTAAAATTAGTGTAATGTCGTAAAGATTGTTTAAATCAAGGGTGTGGACCTGAAGAGCTACATTTTGATCATTTTTGATCATTTCATCAGTGCCACACCCATGGTTCGAATCTTTGTCATACCAACAACACTCTAAATCAGTGTTGTCCAAACTTTTTGAGCCATGTCACACCTTTGGGGGAAGCCATGACGAATTCGCACACTGTATGCGTCTCGTGTCATTTCCAAAAAGTATCTACGGCACACTAGTGTACAGCGGCACATAGTATGTACAACACTGCTCTATATAATGATTGATAGATCCAGTCTCTGGTGAGATTCGAACCCTCGTTCTCAAAAAGTGGGTTCAAAATATCTATTGCCTGAACTATCGCGCCACAGAAGCTTGATGTTTGCACTGGCATCTTCGCTTATATATGATTTAATACCACAAATCGCACTTTTGCCAGACACCACAATCAAGAACCCGAAACTCACTAGTCAAATAATCGAATAGATTATCTTGGCGTGAATAAGGCATGGTGCTGGACTCAAATCGAATTCAGCACCATGCTAGAGTACGCCAGCTTGGTGCTGGTTTCTATTCGATTAATTGTTTTGTGCAAGCGAATGAGCCAGCTTCTGGAGCCATCTAAGAGAGGCAATGGATCACAATTGATCTGTACGGCCAGCGAAGTAAATAAGTAGTAACCGACTTGTACCATTCGGGGATATCTTAAAAGATATTAAAAATATATTCACAAAAATTGAAAATTTTGTGTGAACATGAAACTGTATAAATTGTCTAATATTAATAATTGATGATATAATAAGTTAAAATTATCAATGTGAAAAGATTAAGAGAGAAATAAGTTTGCTCAAAGATTGCAAGTTAAAATAACAGACAAAACGAACGAACGCATATAATAGATAGTCTGATTAAAAAGGCATCCCAAACCTTATTAACAGTAACTTAACGATGTAGTTTAATTGCTTTGACTCGACGTTTTCAATTGAACTTGAAACAAAAGCTTGACATTTAATGTTTTATGTTATTTTTGTGGTCAGACTGACTGTCAAATGTCTACTCTTTTTTGACTTAATTTTTTATGATAAAGACATGCTAATTAAACAAGTCTCTCATAAGTTTATCATTGAGAGAACCTGTGTCTTTAAAGAGAATGTTTGTAGTCACAGTTGAATCATCTTTGTGAATTGAGGATGTTATTTTTGTTTATTTTATTATCAGCAGAAGAAAATTGATTATTTTAAAGCAGATTAAAGTTTTGTGAACAATCATTTGCTGATTTTCATATTTAAATAAATGCTAAAGACAGTTTAATCCACAAATAACATAGAACATCACAATGAGAACATTTATACTAGCTTTTTTCATTCACATTTCAACATTTGGATCCATAAATTCACAATTACAGTACAATAATCAGTATCAACTAAATCCAAGCAATATTTATAGTCAATTTGGCTATAATCAGCGACCAGCAACTCAACAAGCTTATCGACCGATCAATCAGCAACATTTTTACTATCCACAACAAGAAACAACCAAAAGAAATCAAGTTTATCAAACAGGTTCCAACACAGCACTTCGCTTAAGTGAAAGAAAATGTAGCGAATATTTGAAAAAAGCTCAAAATTCTGTATTAGTTGGTTCTCTTTCCTTATTACCCAACATTCTAGACATTCAAACTGATAATTGTGATGCCTCTCAAGGTTTGATTATTGGTGGTGAAAATGCAAAAGCGGGAGAATTTCCTCATATGGCTGGTAAGCATAACTGTCAACTTTTGAAATATTTTTAAATTTGTTGACATTTTTGTAGCTATTGGATATAGAAATCTGGACAATATTGTTGGTTTTAAATGCGGCGGGTCGTTAATATCAGAACAATTTGTTTTAACTGCTGCACATTGTAGAGTTGCTGGACGTGATAAACCGTCAGTTGTTCGTCTTGGTGATTTAAATATAAGTTATAAGGAACATAATTCACCTGAAATTGACATAGCAATAGCTGCTTTTATAGTTCATGAAAAGTATGATCCTAGTAAAAGTAAAAATGACATTGCAGTCGTTAGACTTGTGAGCAAAGTGACACTTTCAAAAAGTATCCGACCTGCATGTTTGTTGAATCCAACTTATACAGCCACCATTCCAAAAGCTATCGCAACTGGTTGGGGATTAACTCAATCATACACAGAACATACATCCGATATTTTGCAGAAAGTTGAATTGCCCATCAGGGATCTTTATACATGTCGTAGACTTATTGATGATCAAAATATAGATGAGACGCAAATTTGTGCAGGAGAAAGTAAGTTCCTTAATATTTATAAAATAAAACATTTAAGAATTAAACTTCTGATTATTTCCTATTTGAAACTATTAGCTGGAAGAGATACTTGCCAGGTAGAGTTTACTTTCATACCCCGAATAGCACAAGTCGGTTAATCGAATAGAAATCCGGAACCAAACCGGCGAGAATCTGGCATGGTTCTGGACTCAAATCGAGTCCAACTTGATGCTGGATTTCTATTCGATTAACAGACTTTTGCTAATCGTGGACATTGAAATAAATTTCATCCAAAAATTTATTAGGGAGATTCAGGAGGTCCGCTTCAAATAGTATCATCAAAAAATAAATGTGTCTACATCTTAATTGGAATAACAAGTTATGGAAACACTTATTGTGGAGAAGATGATACTCCTGGCATATATACACGAGTGTCAAATTATGTGGACTGGATTGAGCAGAAAGTTTGGGGATCTGGATAAAAATTTTTTGTCAATTTTAAGACATTGTTGCTTTTTGATTTGTGAATCAATAAAATTTGAATGATTTTTATCTATTATCTACTTATTTTACAAGCTTATTCCTTCCTCCTGAAAGGCACATTGTGTAAAAATGGATGAAAATGTGGAACAAGGGGAAGCATCCGGTGTAGTGCCACGTTCATGCCATCTTATTGCCATTCTTATGTCGTTTGCTTTCCAGGATTAATTTTGTAGTCACTTACAATTTGTTCAAAAGCGTATACACTCGGGATTAATCCCAAAAAATCTCAGCACTTCCTTACACGAAATTTCGAATCTTTATGCAATTTATCAACTTGACTCTGTTATGTTCTTTGACCTTAGTTCTCTAGTTATGTTAGAATCAACATAATGGCTCAAATCTCTTTCATTTCTCCATTGAATCAGCCTAACTTTAACAACTTGCTTGTAAAATTCTCTTCATAGTTGTTAACTACTCGAATAGCACAAAAAAAGGTAAATCATGGAGAGGGCCCAGCCTTTCAGCTGGAGGCACTGCAATTCAAAATTAGAACAGAATATATTGTACCACACTCTTTAGAATTTCAGTTTGTAGTAAAATCCGAACCACTTGCAAGGTCTGTACATTGCAAAGGCACTAACCGAATGGCACGAGTCGGTTAATCAAATAGAAATCGTGCACTTAGTCGGCATGACTCTGGCAAGGCGCTGGCTTCGATTTTCATGCCAGATTCATACTAGCTTGGCGCGGATTTCTAATCGATTAACCGACTTGTGACATTCGGGCTAGTTCATCTAAAGACCTGATGTAATCTGCACTGTCCTTAGTCACAACTCACACAAGTGTGTGCAAGATGCTGTAATGAAACCCTCCCGATGCTAGTATTTCAACTACAAAACGAAAAAATGAACGGCTTCGATTTAAATCCAGCACTTTGCCAAAGTTACACCAACTTAGTGCCGGATTTCTGATCGTTTAACAGACTTATGCTATTCGGGCTAAATCAATCTTACAATTCAGCATGTATAAGATTCTCAAAATATTATCCCAACGATAATGCTGCAAATAAAGATGTTTCTTGTTCAACCAATTTGCCTGCTCATCATTCGCAAGATTTATAATCATTTCAGACATACAATAAAATATCTTAAATCAATATTCACAAGGCGAAAAGAATTTATTCTTTTGTCAGTTTTAAAAATCAAACAATAATTGTGTCATAAAAGTATTCATTTGAGGGGTTAAATTGATACATTTTAAAGCATTATTCAGCTTATATTCAATAAAACATCATCATTATTTGCCTATTCGAGAATTTGAGCCAAAAAAACAGAGAAATAAATGAGCATAGATGAAAAGGAATGAAAATTAGGGAATATATTCAATAGACAAGACCCGGATGAACACAAAGAAGATTGTGAGAGAGTCGACGAAAGGTGTCAAATTTTGCAATGAATTGGAAACACAATTTTGTGGATTTCCCATTTTAATGATGGTGTGTGAACATGGTCCATTGACTTTATGTTTGCATTATTTCATTGTTGTTGATACACACACAATAAAAGGGACAAACAATGAATCTGTCTCATTGGCTTACTTTCATCTCTTCATCATTAATTTAATTTGATTTGTTTGAGAACATCTTAGTCGCAATGTGATGATGATACAGATTTTTTTCTTTTTGGAGATGTACAAATGACTCATCACATCTGACTCTACATGTTGTCGTTTGAGAAAACAAAAATCTGGAATCTCAGGAATTCTATTCGAAGAATTGTCTGGAGAGTAGTAAAATGTAACTTTTGTATACAAATAAAGAACTAAATCTTAGAGAATTGTTTGAATTGTAACTGATGCCCTCAAGTAGAGACAATGACATAACAAAATAGACACATTATTCATTTGATCTAGCTTATTAAATGTCAAAAAGATCTGTCGCGACATAGCTTGACGATAAATGATGATGATGGTCCCTGAAAATTCGATTGTTGAATATTTCACCTGAAAATTAAGATACAAAGCATTTATTGATGTTATCTTTAAGGATTCAAAGGGTTCTGCTGGTTTGATATTGATTTTATAGTGCTGGGAATAATTGAGTAAGTTAGTAAATTGAATAACAAATCAGATCAGTCATAATACGGGCTTAGGAATTTTATTTTAATTTTCCATAGTGATGCTGATGAACAAGCATTAATCCAGGCTCGGAAACTAGGCGGTTTATCGCCAAATACCCTCAGCTTCTATACAAATACCTCCAAATACTCCCAAATGAGGCAAAATACCCCAAAATTCCATACAAATTCATCCAAATACCTCCAAATACCCCCAAATACCCCAAAATACCGCTAAATTTCATACAAATACCGCTTATTGCCCCCAAATACCGTCTCTTTATAAGAAACATCGTTAAATACTACCGCCTTTAAAAAATTGCCTAGTTTCCGATCATGGGCATTAATAATCTACAGAATTAAGCGTTCATTACAGGCGCGTAACAAAGGGGGGGGGGGGGGGGATTAGAGGGACAAATCCCCCGAGGTTAACACAAATTTCTTCATTTTGCTAGGAGTTTTATGAAAAAATCATAAAAATCCCCCCCTCTGAATTTTCCATGTAAATTTTTTGCTCTCCCCCCCCCTTTTTATGCGCCTTTAATGAACGCTTGATTCTGTAGATTACTAATGCCCAGGCTCAGAAACTAGGCGGTGATTCATTATAATTGTCTTAGGTTCTAAGAGTAATCATAAGTAAGTTTGGCTAGTTCAGATCGCTAAGTTCATTTTTAGTTTAATTATTGATTTTTAATATTCAAATGTCCTTCAAAACCTTACAAAAAATCATTGAAAAATTTCCTTAAAATACCCGAAAATTACACCAAAAGAAAATGATTTATTTAATAAGATTATAAATTTAACTTCTTCATTATATTTTCTAATATCACGATTTCTTCATGCATATTAAAACGTTGAAAGAAGAAGAATAATTTCTTTTAGTTCACAATACAATAAATTTATATATAGAATAAATAATAAAAGAAGAACTGAATGTGACATCATGACACATTTTTATTTATTTAAACCTATTTGTTACCATAATCTTGATTAAATATTTTTACATTTTTATATAGAAATATTTTCATGTCATTACCAACAATGATGAATTACATAACTGAGTAAAAGCTACAATAAATTGAGAGATGAAGAACAAAAATTATGACTTTTTGAAAAGGCCACAAAAGGATGAAAATAAAGAAATTCGTGCTCAACTTTTTTTTTCTTGTCGTTTTATTTGAAAATCGTGACAAATAAAAAAAAATTAAATGGATCCTGTTTTGAGGCATCAAAAATTATTTTTATGTATCTATTGATGTCCATATTTGATAGCAAGAAGGTAAACGAAGATTTTGTTTGATATTTAAAGTTACATATTTTGCCAGCTGCCTTTCAAATTTCCATACTATTCAGCCCACAACAATGAGAGTAATTATAATAGCCAATGTGCCCATGTTAATTTTTTTTGGAAGCTGAAAGGTGGGAATCGATGGTTGTTAGTGTCAATGACGCAGTTTTCAGAAAAAACTGAATAACTTCGAATAATGGATCCTGAGTAGGAATCGAACCTACGTCTTATGATTTCGGATTGCATGTTCCTGCCACTGAGCTATCGGGGATTGTTTAGTCAAACTATATTGCTATATTACACATATATAAGCTACACCCTTTTTTGTATCCACTACCTTTGCCTGATGATCTGGGGCTTGTCATCGCTAAAGGCATAACTTTCATATCTTAACAGTGTACCCGAATAGAACAATAGCTGACCGGTTAATCGATTATAATCCGGTATCAAGCCAGTGTGACTCTGATACGGTGCTGGGTTTAAATTGAAGCCAGCACCGTGCCAGAGCACCATCAGCTTAGCGCCGAATTTCTATTCGATTAACTGACTTGTGCTATTCGGGTTATAGATAGGATAATAATATTTTTTTAAAAAAAATAGAGATCCTGAACATAAAATAGGATATCCCAAGTATCTATCAATTTTATTCGTTTTCTGGACGAATTAGAAAAATGACAAAACTTTACTTATTTTTGAAAAATTAAAAAATAGAAGACTGTCCTCTGAAGAACCAAGCAGATGGGAAGCCAAGTTATAGGTGAATTTTGAGCATTATTTTACAGTTTTCAATAACATTATTACCAATTCATCCCAAACTGACATTACAACCACACCATAATCTTCAAAATCCTCGCTAAAAGCATCAATAATCTCTAAATAAGGTTACTTGGCCTCTCCTGCCGCTGCTGTACCAGGTCTGATCATTACCACTTGAAGACTCTTTTGTGTAATGTTTGTTTGATAATATTATTAAGTTTATTATGTTAAACAATGAAATACTTTTTTCACGTACCTTATTATTATCGTTATTATTAGTCATCTATGGTAATTTCTACTTCATCTATAGAATAAGGCCTTCTCTACATGATCATGCGGGATTTTTCAATCAAAGAAAATAAAAGAAATTATTTTATTAACAATCAAAAAAAAAAATAAAATTTTACAAAATCATTCCATTCAGTACCGCGCGGACAGAGCAAAAGATGAGAAGAAATTCAAAATATCAAGTCAATTATTTTATTGTGGCCTGCATCATATTCATAGATGGTCGTATAATAATTTAATTAATAAGCAAGCATTTATGAAATGTGGTGCGCCAACATGAGATGATGATGGGTGTTGCCAGTCTTGCGCCATGTCTCTATTACAATCCTTTATGTTTCTATATGAATGCCACGAAAGTAAAACTCTTTGTAAGCTTTCGAAATTGGTCTAATAATATGGTAGTTTGGTAGCTATATAGACATCTTTCATATATTAATATTTGTACTAATACGATTCAATTTGTGTGAAGATAGATTTAAAGATTTGGGGTTATTTGTTATTTATGTATGTCTGACAAGAAAGATTGTTTAGTAATTATTGAGATCTCTAGCTTGGCTTGGGCACAGTTAGATCTATCGCAGTACATAGGAGGTAACGGATACTTCATGCTTTCTTCTAAATCAAGACCAAGTCTTAGTAAAGACACATGCATGCTATTTTATGCAACCAATCTATGTTTTATATGTAAATACCTTAATTTAATAGCTTATGAATAACCTAGGCCAGTAGTGGACAACCTTTTCTGTGGCAAGTAACAACTCGGTGGTAAGCCATGACCAAAACTGCACACCGCACACGTTTGGTGAGATTTTTTGAATTTTTTTGCAGCACATAGGCTGACCATTACTGTCCTGGCCCAGTGTTTTTCTAACTTATCAAGCTAAAGAGCAGTAAATCATCATTTTATGCATTCGCAGGATAATGGCAAGACTAAGAATTTTTTGCGGAGTATAGTTTGAGAAACACTGATCTAGGCTCTAATGCAGTGATGGTCAACCATGAAAAAACCGGGAAATCCTACAAACCGTATGCCACATATGATTTTAC